GAATAAACGCTAAAGCGATCATGAAGTTTGCTTCCTTGTTGCTCAAATAGAAACGCATAGACAGAATCAGTGAATTAGGGGTGACAAAACAGTGGAGTTTCCTGCTTGTCCTCGTTACCCGTTATATGAGCAGTAGGGCAATGGAGAAGGATTCAAAAGAGGAAGTTGATGATGGTGATGATGCTAAAGATGACGATGAGGATGAGTATTAGACTTCTATTTTGATGTGATGTGCTGATGTCTTTATTTTTTCTGCTGCAGTATTGTTTACTAATGTACTGGACATATTATTCTGTGTTGATGTGGTATAGTTGTATTTCTAAACTAGTTTATTATTGCTGTGGACTCTTGTTAAACTTATCTGTTGTAATAATTTTATTCTTTCTGGTGTGTTTTCATATTAATCCTATTTAGCAACAATTTACTTTCTATTTGTCCTCAGTTACCCGCATTTCATATTCTTAGGCTTTCAAAAGAAATTTGAGTTTTGTGGAGTTAAATTTAAATTATTGCAATTCTGCATAAAGAAAAATATTATTTTTATTTTACATTCTATGTAAATCAGTCTAGACAAGTTTGTAGTAAACTTATAGTTTAACGTGTAGAAAAACGATTTCATTATTTTCTTTTACAAAGAGTTACTTATTTGTTAACCCAGGTATCTTAGACATACACTTCATAAGAATTATGTCTCTATTCAAAATATAAATTTCAAGTATTACACATTTATTTTGAAAAATTTAAAAGAAAATGTGAAAGAGTGTGATAGGTTTCATTTTAGAGGTTAACAGTGGAATTCAAAACTATTAAATGTCTATCCAGATATAGCAATGCTTCAAAGCAAGGCTAAGGATTGAAATAAATAGCCTAAAGCAAGAAAAAAGGAGATTTAAAAGAAAGTATTAAGGAGAGGAGTAGCCTAATCAAAAATTAATTTTCCTGGATTTCTTTTAAAGTTGAAACATTATTACATTCCTAAGCTTATATAAATTCAAACTGAATTTGCAAGTCTTTTTAAAATGAGTTCTTAACTTCTATTTTTATACAATCTAAAATACTTTAGTTAGCAAGCATTTACTCCTTTGTAAATTGAATAGAAAATCAGGTTTTCCTAGTTAGATGAAGGGTTTACTCATACACTAGGGATAGAGTTATTTGCTAGAGTTAATCTAAAATTGTACTTTATGTATTTCCTGAAACAAAATTGTAGATAATTTTAATGAAACTCATTCTCTCAAATTAATAAAATTAATTTTAAAAATACTAGTGCTATTTGAGGACAAGTAACGTTTAAGTTTGAGAAATTTTAATATACAAAAGCACTTAAAATCCGCAACTTCTTGCAATTTTTTATGAATGAAATTGCATATTAAAAGAAGATATTTTAGTATTTTTCTTACAGATACAACGAGCAGTAGAAGTCAAATGAAGTGGAGAAGAAACAGAGCGAATTGGAGGTGACATGAAGCTAAGGGAGCACCAAGTGACTGGCGCCTAGGCGCCAAGACGCTACACACAAGCCCCTAGGCGCCAGTCTCTACCTGAGCAGACAAAAAGCTTGACGCCTAGGCCCCAACAATTGCTGGGCAATTTTTCAGCAGTTCTCCTCATGACGTGGAGAGTTATTTGGAGGTTATGAGCAGTTCTAAAAAGACATGGAGAGAAGTATTTCGAGAGGAGAAGAAGAGGAACATTACTGGATCGTTGTAGGAGAGAATTAGGGCTTTTATTTAGAATTTGGTGAGAATTGAGAGATTTATTGCAAGTAGATTACATCAGCACTGTAGCAAGGGTTTGGGAAAGCCTAAGAGAGCATTCTCAGAGCATTGTAAAGAGGAAAAAGTAAAGTATTGTGTTTTTCTTGTATTATACTTCTATAAAACACAATTACCTAGTGGATTTGCGTTATGTTAATGATGTTTTGCAGTGTGTTTTTTATGCTTGGTGAGGAGTCTTTTCACCTTTCTCGTGCAATGATTATGTTAGTCATATAGGAATGGTAGAATGCTTTTGAAATTGATTTTTCATATTTAATATTATAAGTATTCTTCTACGCTTCATTTACTTTTCATTTTGGTCAAATGATTAGTTAACACATGTTGTGATCCATAATGACTCGGAAGAAAGAAAGATTAGAATATTCACGTTGCATTAAAGATTATGAAACAAAAGTAAACTACAGAGAGATACACATAGATGGGGAAGTAGTCTTTTGATGAGTTCAAATTGGGGTTTAAGGAATTCAAATCAGTTTAATCAAAGCTTCTTTATGCACTTGGGCGAGAATAAAGTAGAAATTTTTTCCTATTTATAACTAGTCATAATCACAATTTCAAGTATTGGTCTTCCTATACACTACATATATTATACACTACATATATCATTGCAAATGAGGGTGGTTTTTAATTTTCACTACTTTAAATATATTTAGTAGAATTTCTATAGGAGTAATTCTTAAATTGTAGGTAGTAATTCCGTAGAATTAATTAGCAACACTTAAAATCAACTTTACTTCTAGGTTAATACTCATTTTAGTAAGCTAGAACTTCTTTTAAAACTTTAACTGTCTCGCTTCCCTGTGGAATTGATATTCCGTACTCATAAATCCGTTATTACTGATACGACACGTATACTTGCATGAAACTCCAATGTGCAAGTGCACCTGAACCAGGAAGAGTATCAAATACCTACCCCCGCACTATCGAGGGATATGTTCTTGAAGCTCCACTATATTTAGCAGAAGAAGATATCAGTGAAAGAGTATACGACAAAACTTCTACAGTTTAAATTAAACTGTGAGCTGAAGGAACCAGAGGAGCACACCATAGTCAAGATCATGTTTGATGCAATATAGTGCCCAAAAGATGTCTATCACCTTTTGTGGGGGAAACCGTGACAGTATGATTGTAGGACTGACATGATGGGTTTAGGAACACAAATTCGCGAATGATGGAAAGCATGTTGTCCTCTTACCTTATACGAAGTTTGAGGTTACAGGTGCTCATGCCAATAGAGAAATGCTGGGAGGATCTATTTTAGTGTTGACAGAGGATATCGAGACAGAAGAGTCAGCTTTAGACACAGGGCAGCAAGTACAGAGAGGGTTTCAGGACATCTTGTTAGATAGCTTATCGCCATGGCCTCCACCATTCAAGAAAGCTCAGGCTACCCTCACTTCAGATTAGGTTGACCTAATCTTGAGTTACTTTTGGAGGATTCAAGAGTATATATGTGACATGCAGACCCGGTTCAGTTTAGTAGTGAGCTCCCAAAAGATTGGGTTGATGTGGATCGCTACACGTAAGTAAGAAAAACTCAAGTATTTTGGGAGACGGTACGATCGACAGTGGCAATCAAGTACTTTTAGGACCGCAGTCAAAGATCCTTCAACCTTGGGAGGCTACAGCAGCTCCGTCACCGTCAACGTGCAGACAAAAGCTTCGATGAATGAGGTTGAAGTTCCCCCAACTCTGAAAGACCGACGTAGGTGTCACGGAAGAAGTGAAATCCCATTTGGACCAAACACGTCCAGATATGGGAGAGTCGATTGGCTCTTCCACAAGGATTTGGAGCCTCCTTTCTAGAGCAAGGCCCAATCCTAATTATCTAGGACTTAAATATTTGCTTCCTTTGTTTTAGGTTTTCAATTTTATCATTTGCCTGTTTAGGATAGTCGTCAACGTTCCTGTTTCTCCCTTCTAGGGATGTATCCAAATGTGTGTGGTGCTCCGACTGTAGCTCATCTAAGGTGGTGACCTTCTTCAAATGGTCGAGTATTTATTGGGACCTTCCCTTCCCGACACCCCTCGCTTCGCCACAATGCCTCTTTCCTTGCTACAACCACCCGGAACAGCCCTCATTGCTATTATTTTCTGTTGTTCCCCTTTTTCTAGCCACCTCCCTTCCACAATCCCTACTGTCCTCCTTCTAAATCAGTCGTCAGCCCGCACGCTTGTTGTTTCTAGCAGCCCGCAGCCTATCTTTGTCCTTATTCTTTACTGCAGTTTTCCCTTCCTCGGTCACTGTCTCGGCCTCCTGCTTTGCTGACCTCGCTGCCCCACCCTCCAACTTCGCTGCTACAGCTCGCAACGCCTTCCCTTTGCTATTTTGTTGTTATTCCAATCTCCCACAAGCTCCACCGCAATCCACCTTCCAAAAACCTTACCTGCTAAATCCGCAGCCCTCCAACACCCCTACCCTACCATTCCAGCCCACCTAACCGACCACCACCATTAGGATACACTTTAGCTGTGTTCGTTTGTATATGTTGTTGTGTTTTCTTTTCAGTGTGTTAGTTGTAAACGTCTATTGATTTTTCCAGTAAAAATAAATATTCTCTTGCTATTGCTTGGTTAACTCAGGAATCATCCAAGGCATTCTAAAATTCACCCTTACCAGCAAAATTATATTTTTTTCTTGTGAACTTTGAATTGAATGTTTTTTTTAACTTTGCATTGAACACTTAATACAATATCAACCATCCCAATAGTTGTTCGGTTCTCAGGCTACACTTTTTCTTGCCCAAGCAAAGAACCCGCTAGGGCTGCTGAATTGAGTTTAAGGTTAAATCTAAATCAAAGACATTATGCCAGGAGCATAACGGATTAGAGCATCAAAATGGAAAGTCCTTTGTTTTTCCATTGACAGTAAATACTACAGTCATAACATTCACTCCGATGAAGCTTTCTGTACGTGATCCGCTTGATACAACAACGGCTCTTTTCCAAATAGTAATAATCAGTACTGATATCAAAGCCTTAATTTATGATAGACCGTAACAAAATAAATTAGAACAAGTCTCTCGCCTGGAGGATTCTGCAGAGTTAGTATGGTCACACATGTTAACATAAAAAAATTAAAATAAATTAAAAAATTAAAAAAACAAAAAAAAAACAGCAGATGAAGCCTATCTGCAAGTTACAAGCATTTAACCAATTTCAATGATCCAATTAGAACATTAAAATTGAACTATAAAGATATTCCTGACATTAATGACATACCTGTTCTCCGCATCCCTTCCTCCACATCCGCACGAGAAAGCGGGTAGATGATTTGATCCCTTAAAGTTCCCAGACAAGTATAAGGCCTCTGAGGAACACAAAACAGGCCACATTTTGGTTGCACCCCTTTAATGACATTCTGGGATGGTTTCACAAGCCTTCCACTGACAACCGGCCACAAACCCCTAAGTATTCTAAAGATGGAACTTTTACCACTTCCATTAGGACCTTAAAATATAATAAAGGCAAAAGATAACAATGTCAAACAAGTTTTCACCTAAAGAAATAAGAATGAGTTTAGATCATTTACCAGTAACAAGAAGGCTTTCCCCTTGCACAACATCACAAGTTAACTTCGCGGCCAACAGCTTCTGCGCTGGCGTAATGACATCAACGTTGGAGAAGGAAATAATATCTTGTTTGGGAATAACATTCACTTCAGAGGATACTGAAGCAGCAGGAAGAGATATATCTGTAGAACAGTGTGAAATTCCATAAATACCTTAAGAACACTCAAGCCCAACCAAAGAGAACAAACGCAAGCTTAAAGAAACAAAAACTCAAATAAAACCACTTGACCTAGCCGATGTAAAAAGACAAAAGCTCCATGAATTTTCATTTGCCTGACACTTTCGTCGAAAGGTGCAGAATGTTTCGGACATTTTGAAAAATATTATAATGCTATCTTACTCATGTATACATCACAATATAACCAAGAAAACAACATTGAGAAATATATATCAATATAGATTGATTTAGATTTTATTATTTATATTCCTGACATGGTGCAAAATTCAACAAGAAAACAACATTTTACTTGGTCTAGTATAGTAAAGGGAAATGATATCATAACAGAATTAAATAACATATAAAATGGAAATGCCTAATGCCACATACATATATCAATAATCAGACTGAAGAAATGCAGCCAAGCATGATTCTAACGCCAATAAAAAAACAAAAAAATGGAAACAGTCTAATTTAAAATGGGTTTGAGATTCACATTTTTTCCCATTAATGAGCATGTACTTTAGTTCATGTAAATATAAATAATTCGTTGATATTGCAAATGTCAACTACATTGAGGATAAGTGACAAAAAAAAAACAAGTATTTTAAATATTTCTAAAAAAGAAAAATATAAAAAAGATTTTTTATACAGGAAAGGGTAAAATTCCCACCAAACCTGAGGCAGTCATGTTCAAGGCAATGCATATAGCGATGAAGAACATAAGATTTTGACACCATAAAGCAAAGACAAAAATCACATGCTTCAATACTAGAAGGCCAATTTAAACGCATAAAACTTCAAGCCACCACTTCAAAGCGTTTTAGACGCTTTAAATAAAATGTTTTTGAACAAAACCAAATGCAACTTCAAAAATGTATAAATGCATATTGCAAGATAGGACTGAATAATATGGCACTACTTGCACCATGCAATTGCTGCTAATGGGATTCAAACTACATTAGAAAACAATAAAAATTGATTTTAATGCACCGAGTACATTGAAGATTTTGATTGCTGAGCATCATTAAGAGCCACAGAAAGTCGTAGCGTAGTTTTACAGAGGTCAGTTTGCTAAATAACAGCTTTGAGATTCATAAAATGATGCACGAAAAAATAACTTTTATTAATACTTACAAAAGTGTATTTGAATTTCATATATTTTAAAGCTGCCTTAGAATGGAGAGACCGTCAAAACACCATACAGAAATCGTTTGTCTGCATAGCCCAAGTGATGTTGGAGTACTTCACTCCAGACACGAGCCGCACAGCACCCGTGATCGCGGATACGGAGACGGCCCGAATCAATCCTAGTTTTCTTTTGCTTTCTTTCTTATTACCATTCATTCTTTTTTAATCATTTTATGAATGTATTGTATTAAGATTTGGAATTCAATTTCTCATGTATTTCGTATATGGATAGTCGTCTGCGCCTCTTATTCCTTTTGAGGGTTATATCAAAGAGTTCTAGGTGATGCTTCGGCTTCATCTCGGTCTCCAAGTAATGTTTATCCTTCCCCAACCCCTCCACATTCATCCCGCTTCATCGCCACGCATTCCTCCTCACTGTAGCCTACCTCGACAGCAGTCATTTTGCTATGTTCCTGCAGTTTCCTTGCTATCCAACTCTTTTCCTAGCTGACCCCAGCCAAGACAGCCTTCCTTTGGATATCTGGCAATCCATCGCATCCCCCATCATCCCCCATCACAATTACAGCCTTCCATCTTCTCCCTCACTGCTATTCTAGCCCTCCCTCTTTGCTGACATTATCCTGGATGGTCATGCCACGTTGGCATATGTCGCATACTTGTCTGAAACCCGAAAGTCATTGCCTTGTTGTTTTCAACTCGCCAACAACCTTGTCCACCATCCTGCCACCCTTTCAAACCCTCACCAATCACCACCACCAACCCGAGATTTCACCTTAGTTTGAGTGTTTGTGTCTTGTCAGTTGATATTTCAAATATTGTTGTATTTTCCTTTTCAGATGTGTTGGTTATAACCGCTTATTTGATTTCGATAATAATATATTTTTTTTCCTATTATGGTTTGGATTAACTCCGGTATCATTTGGTATCGGAGTTAGTTTTTTCCTCACACTACATCATTCATCTACACCCTACTTTATCTACCTACACACTACTTTATCTACCTACACACTACTTTATCTACCTACACACTACTTTATCTACCTACACACTACTTTATCTACCTACACCCTACTTTATCTACCTACACCCAAACCCTAACCACGCACCGAAGAGACAATTGTCGGAAACCTGGACTAGAGGAAAAGCTACAATGTCGTTTATGAGTATTAAACAAAGAGATGCCCATGAACCTTTTATGGAAGATGTTCAACAAAAAATCCTCCAATAGCATCAGAAGTTTGTCATTTTCGAGATGAGGCAATCAGAAAGAGTCACCTGTAGCTATAATATTGACTTGCTAGATCAAAGGAATTGAGTGAATCTCTTCCACCCTACAGATGTCTCTACCCCAAATATTTGACCTGAAACATCGGAGAAGCCAAAATTTTGAAGTAAATATGGATTTGCCACATTTTGACGACCACTTAGATCTTGAAGAGTTCATCATGTGGCTTCAGAGAGTGGAACTTTTCTTAGAGTATTAGGCTATCCCACTGGACAGAATGGTGAAGCTAGTTATGAATAAGTTAAATAAAAATCTTTTGTTTTGATGGAAAAATTTAAAGTACCGATGCCAACGTGAGGGAAAAAACAAGATCGCTTTCTAGTTCAAGATGAAATAGAAGATACTACCTACCAGCTCGCTACAAATAGGATCTTCAAACTCCAGCTTCAAAAGTGGAGAGACCACAACACCAGGCGACCATCACATTTTTCAAGCAAGGTTCAATTCAAGATCTTATAGCTACAGTACACCGGAGAAACATCCAAGCCTACCCCGCCAAAGAAGAAACTGATTCAGAGTAGAGAGCATATGAAGCAAACAGTATTCATAAATCTGTCCCAGCAAAAAAGGTGGATCAAGTGCCATAGATTTAGGCATATTGAATCATATTGCATAACAAGGAAAATAATCTATTTAACTGACCCGAGCATTGTTGAAGAAATATGCAACGACAAGGTGGACACAGAAGGTGAGGATAAAAAGGAGTACCAACTTCCAACTAATGAGAGAAAGATGCACATAGTTCGAGATGAGCCCATGAGAGAGACTCCAACCAAATTAATAATAGTAGTCGAAGGCGGTCATGATTTCAAGGAACCAATACCATAGGCATGGCAACCCCATAAAAGAAATTCAGATTTTTCAGAAAGATATATATACAGACTTCTTCCTAAGTTGCCCCTTCTTAGAGAGGTCCAACATATTAGAGATGATGCTCTATTGTCATATTTGGAAGATTATATGGAGTTATACAAGATGTTAGTTTCAATTCAGCAATGTACCCATCAACAGATGACCAAACAAAATGGATGAACTACAACTTCGGAAATTGTCTTAGAAACTTGGTAGGGAAGAAAATTCTTCAATGGGATCCATGACCTACCAAAGAAGAAGTCACTCCCGAGTGGTTACTAGTAAGGGTAGAGCAGCCTGCCATAGATTTCGTCCAAGAGTTGATTTTTTCTCACATTTCTTATTTATTAGATACGTCCAGTGGAGCACGAGAATGGGGAAGAGTATTTTATAGATGTAGTGACTCGAAACCTAATTTTTCAGTGCCATCTCGGATTATGTCAAAAGAGGATGGAGACTTATTCTACTAAAATGTGTTCTAAAATAATAATGCCTACGAGATTGACTTACTAGTAGATTGCAACAGCCCCGCCACTTTGAACATGTCCGACTTGATTCTACACCGCAAGGAAACAAAAGCTTCAACAAATGAGGTTAAAGCTTCCCTAACCCTAGGAGACTGAAGTGGGAGCGCTCTGCTCCGGACAGGGAACACGAGCGACACAAATTTTGCAATCGCGGATAACGAGAAGGGGCGAATCAATCTTGATTTCCCTTTTATGATTTCTTTTCTATTATCCTTCATTTCTTTTTAATCATTTCCTATATGTGTGTTGTATTAGGATTTAGAAGTCAATTTCTCGTGTGTTTTGCATTGAGTCAATTTCTCGTGTGTTTTGCATTGAGACAACCTCCATTAACCATCGACCCTAGGGTTCTAGGTGATGCTTCAAATATATCTTGGTTTCCATATGGTGTTCATCCTTACCCAACTCCTTTGCATCCCTCTCACTTCACTGTCACACATTCGTCCTAGTAGCAGCTCATCCCAACAGCAGCCCTCTTGTTATTTTCCTACAATTTCCTTGTTGTCCAACCTTTTTCCTTACTACCCCACTCAGGACCACCTACCTTTGGTTGTCTGGCAGTTCACTGCATCCCCATCACTATTCCAGTCATCCATCCTCGCTATTGTTGTTGGTCCAAGTTCTTCCAGAGAAGAATCTCTCCTGAGTGATTACTAGTGAAAGTAGTGTAGTCTGCCATCGGAGTTGATTTCTTCTCATATACTTGTTTATCATATAAGCCCAGTGGAGCACGAGAAGTGGGAGGAGAAATTTACAATTTTAGTGGCTTGAGACCTAATTCGTGAGAATATTTATTTATCAATTTTCCTAGCTCTGATTGTGCCAAAAAATGATTACTTATTCTACTGAGATGTGCTTTAAAATAACAAAAGCCTATAGGATTGACTTATTGAGAGATGAAACACCTCCGCCACCTTGAACGTGTCCAACTTGATTCCATACTAAGAGGAAACAGAAGCTTCGACGAATGGAGTCGAAGCTCCCCCTATGCCAGAAGCATAACGTGGGAGCGCTCCGCTCCGAATGTTAAACGGGAGCAGCACAACTCCTGCGATTGCAGGAGACAGGGAGAAGGACCAGATTAATCTAGATTTCTTTTTTTATGATTTTTTTCATATTATCCTTCAATCATTTTCACTCATTTCCTATATATGTGTTGTATGATGTTGAAGTCAATTTCTTGAGTGTTTTGTATCGAGATAGTTGTCAGCATCTGTTCCTCCCTTCGAGGGTTGTATCCTAGAGTTCCAGATAGTTTTTCGACTATATCTTGGTCTTCATATGGTGCTGAGCCTTCCCCAATTCCTTTGCCTCCCTCCTCCTTCACTGCAACGCATTCGCCCTAACTGCAGCCCATCCCAACAATAACCCTTTTGTTTTTTTTTTTTCATGTAGTTTCCTAGTTGTCCATCCCTTTTCCTCATTGCCCCCTCCCAGGACCGCCTTCCTTTGGTTGCATAGCAGCCCATTGCATCCGCCATCATTGTTCCAGCCATCCAACTTCATTGTTGATATTGTTCCAGCCCCACGCAACCCCTGTTGCCATTATCTCGAACAGCCATGCCACGTCAATATTTGTCATGTACTTTGTCCGAAACAAAGAAATCCACTGTCTTCTTCTTATCAGCTTGCCAACCACCTCTTCCACCACCCACCATCTTCCAAACTCTCAAAAATTACCACCACCACCCTAAGATCCACCTTTGTTTGAGTGTTTGTGCTGTGTTTGTTGCTATTTCAGATTTCAGATACCGTGTTATTTTATTTTTTTCCTTTCAAGTGTGTTGGTTGTAACCTCTTATTTTCTTGCAGTAATAATATTTATTTTTCCTAATGTAATTTGAGTTAACTCCGGTGTCACCAAGGACCACAAGTGAGTATATCCTCAAGTAATATTAAAATATGTTTTTTCTTAATAAATGAAACCAAGCCAGATAACTTATATTAATCTCTATTGCAAAATGATGCAACTTATATATGATTTTTGTGCTACATTATGTCCAAAGCTACAAGAGATTGATAAAATTCATGGATTGGAAACAAACCTAGGTTCCTCTTTATCTAAGTGTATATATTCCGACAATCTTACCAAATTAATTTGTTTATTAAAGAATAAGAACTTGAGAAGAAAAAACGCTCATAGCAATAACGAGTGCAGTTCCGTGAGATTTCTAAGACATTTAAAATACAAACAAGCTTGGCCATAGCTTGAATTTTGCAGAAAATTACAAAAAAAAAAAGGAGAGATAGAAATAGAAATACTCAACTCAGACAAGCTTTTCCCATGGTACCAACAAAAGCACCATGTGAAATTCGGTCAAAAGATTTATCAATAATTTAATATGACACCTAGATGAATTCAAGGTAACATATAATGATTGTTAATGATCTTACCACTTTGAGAGACATCAAGCAACTCCTCAAGCTCAAAAATTCGATTTATACCACCAGAAAGTTCAAGAAATTTCCTATGCAACTCAAGAATATCCCCAAATGCCAAGAAGCTCTGGGAAACTACGGAAGCAAGAAATCGCAGTGCATGAGCCAGCTCCCCTGCAAATAATCAAAACAACAATTATTAAAGCACTTTATCTGCCAATTAAAAAAAAATAAAAAAAGTTAATGTAGCCCTGTTTTTCTATATTGTCAAACCTTGTGCAGAAGTCAATGCCCGGTCTCCATTATGCTCTAAAGCATACAATAAACTCAATCCCCATGTGACATTGTGAGGAAGTTGCTTTGTAACAAAATCATCTAGTATAACATATAACCACCTTTTCCTCAGAAGGACCTTGGAGTGATCGAGTAATTCCCTAAATTTGAAATCGGCCAACTGTTGCATGCATAAACATAATTAATAAGTAAGGTTAGTGGGCTTGGAAAACTATCAGAAATTCCATAACATTACGATGCAGAAAACAACAAAATTCAGTTGTGATAAGTCATGATTTTGGTGCATATCACGGTATTGTTAATAATGAGAGACATCCCAATGTATTTACTACAGAAAAATAATATTGTTATTATAGTTAACAATATGCAAAATAATCAGTATGAGCATAATTGAGCAGGCATAAAAGGAAAGAGAAAACATGGCTCTCACAGTTTTTTCTCTAGAACCACCGCCAAAGAAGGCAATTGATTCAGCGTGTGTCCGAAGTCTAGAGTGCATGAATCTGATATAAGAATATTGATCATGTACTGTTAGCTTCAAGAACCATACTCCGACAAAATGAGTAAACACAAGTTATATAAGGAAGTAAATTGAAATAATTACCTAAAGGTTCCCTCAAGCTGTTGCTCTTTGCTACCGAGATCACCAAAATCAGGAGCAACACTTCTCAGGAAGCCCAACCCTAGAAGCATATAAACATATAATATCGCAACTCCTCTTCGACCAGTTAGAAGCTTCATCCGCCAAGTGAACCTGCAAACAAAAGGGCACCAAAACATGAATGTGAAAGCCATCATTAGAAGATGCATTACAAAGGAGCATATTAAATGAGAGCAAAAGCCCAAAATAGTCCTCCAACTATCAACAAATGATCAATTTAATCCCAGAGTTTTAAGATGCTCGACTTTAATCCCAGACTATTAAAATTTGATCCAAACTAGTCCATAAACTCAATTTCATGATTACGAGTTAACACCAACTGTTAACCTTTTAAGTATTTTAGGAAAAGAAATTTTATTTTAATGATTACTATATTTTTATAAGTGATAAAGTATTTTATTATTACCCTGTTTATTTAAGTAATAAATTTTTTCTACTTTGTGCTAATATTGATTCTATTGATAAAAGTATTTGAATTCCTTACCTTAAAGGGGGATGACTATATTTAATTATTTAATTATTTAATTCATGAAAAAAATATTTATCCTCATTCGTAAATTTAAATTATTTATTACATATGAAAATAGAGTAATAACAAAAATAAATTTTCATTTAAAACTCTTCTTCATAAAATACACACAAAGTTAACAGATGGTATTAACTTAATAACCATGAAATTCAGCCTCGGGCAATCAATTTTTAATAACCCTGGGATTAAATTAAAGCACTTTAAAACTCCGAGACTAAATAAGCCACTTGATGATAGTTTGGAGGACAATTTTGGGCTTTTGCTCTACTGAATGGCAGGTTGCATCACATACTCACCAAAGAATATCAACAGAAGGCTTTACCATACCAGTAAGCAATCCTGCAAGTTCAGCGGTCAGCTTTTCCACATCATGTGTTACTCGCTGATCTGCATCAACATTTTTATCTGACATGTGAAACACCTATAAAAAAGACATTAAAATAAGTGCCACAAAAGTTGACTGTTAAGGCAATCAGATGCAAAATTAAGAAATAATACCAAGCAAGAAGCAAATCGATCTTAATTACAAATAGAAATGCAATTAAAAGCATAAAACTCAAAGCAAAACACAAATGGAAATACCTTGTAAAAAGACATGTTTCTCAAGTAATTTTCTAGCAGATGATTGGTCAACCGAATTCTCCATCCAAGGGCAAGTTTGGCTGTCAGGTATCTGCCATTCAAATTTATGAGATAAAGTAATACTCAAAGTGTGCATAGGTTTTGTTAAAATGATTCTTTTATATACCATAAAAATTCTCTGAACAATTCATCATAATAAAATTGAACGACTGAATAGTACAAAAGTTACACAAAACTTCATAATCAAGAATACAGAAGTCAATGCATATCCTCAAATGGAAAAAAGTTCCTTATTCTATGATGGCTCATCTCCACTTGGTAGAACATCTGAATTTTCTATGCCAACTAAATTTAAAAATGCAAAACGTTTAAAGTATAACTATGCAACTCTTTCTTCCGTGTAGATATTTGGCAAGCCCAAAAACGAATAAAAGGAATTTCTTGTGATGCAGTAGTAAACAATGTTAAATTTCAATTCGATGACAACAAAGTAATTGGACTCACAGCTGATATTACACCAAAAGGATAATACATGCCTTAGAGAAGGAGCAACAATAGATGATGCAGCACTTTGAAGAACACTGATGCCAGCCAATCTGATAAAGGCAGCCTTATCCTGTTCTAGCACATACTTGACGCTAGTTCCTATTAAAACCCCATCAATAACACAAACAAAAAGGAAGCTCCATTACTTATCTATTCACACGAAATATATAAAAGAAAGAACTATCATACCATTTAAAGAAGCTATGCGATCAGATATCCATGTTCTCGAGATAACGAGTAAAGAAACTGCAAAGAGCTGTGCACCTTGTTTATCAAGCAATGTCGGTACCTATAGCAACAGAAATAATGGAAATCATAACAAGAGAGAAGGAGAGAGAGAGAGATGCAATTTCATGAGCAGGTGAACAGACGGAAAACAAAATAAAAAATGGCTTCCAAAATTCACATACTAATGGTAAAAATATCCGAAATGCATCGTTAGAATATCTGTGTGGTCGGTTGAAAAGTCGGTGATGTGATTTAAGACAGAGGACAGGAAAAGGTACGTTTCCATATCATTTAAGACAGAGGACAGGAAAAGGTACGTTTCCATATCGAAATAGCAAACAGGCCAGATTCTATTAGAATTTTCGCAGTGTTAAAGTCAGAAACTCTTACCAAAACTCTTAGCATTGAAGCTACTCTTAGAGGTAAAGCTCTTGGAGTATTTTTCAATTGAGGAACAACGGGTAATTGAGCTTTATCCCAACTAAGAGGAGAAGATACCAATACTTCCGATGAATAAGATTGAACCTTAGATTTTGGGAGTTTGTTTCCCTGCCAGATGTTGAAAATAAATATATAGCATGATGAAGTACATTTTCATGACAAATACAAAATTGGAAAGGCAGAAAAATAAGAATCTAAAAACCTTTCCAGAGCTACAAAAGGCTTTTTGAACAGCAATTGCATCACTATGGCGTTCAGTTTGGAATGATACAATTGAATTGGGACCATTTCCATGGGAATCTAATGAATCATCCCTATTTCACACGAACTTGATGTTTTAGTACTGACATTGAAAAAAAATGTAAATGAAAAAGATAAAAATAACCGCAAATCATAACCTCTTGTACTGAACACTCCACCCTCCTTCTCCATCTAATGATAAAACTATGTCATGAAATGCAACTAGAGCAGGGCGGTGGGATATAGTGATACATGACGTCCCCATTGCTCGAACCTTAGCACAAAAACGTTCCTCCATATCAGTAGTGACTGCACTTGTACACTCATCAAGAATAGCAAACTTAGGCTTATGGAAGAACAGTCTAGCCATTCCCAGCCTCTGCTGTTCACCAAGAGAAAGTTCATCACCCCAATTTATTTCCTTATCCAGTGGATAACGCTCCAACAAGTACTCCAGGTCAACCTGAAAAATAAAAAAAATAAGTGGTTTTAAGACATTGACATGCTTTAACTTTAGAAATGGTAAAAAAAACAAGATTGTGTAATATTACATTTTTTAATAGTTCAACCATTCCCTCATAGGAGAGTCGTTCAATCTCTTGATCAAATGTAAGGGGATATATCAACTGATCACGAAGTGTTCCAAAAGCTGTATATGGCCGTTGTGGGACATAAAAGATCTCCTTGTTAAGATCAGAACCGACCCCTGGTTTAACAATGTGGCCAGATACCAATGGCCAGAGGCCACCAAGAACCCGGAAAAGTGAACTTTTGCCACTACCATTTGGACCTGGCCAAAAAATGGGGAAAAAAAATTCATAACAAAACAAAGCTTTCCAGGTTATTGTAGGATTAAAATTGTCAGTATTGATGAAATGAGAATGAATGTCTTTAAACATAAAAATACATCATGCCAACAGCCAGATTTAGCAATTTTGGTGGCTCAACCACCGTTTAATAAAAAAATAAAAATACCCCGCTGACTTATTCCTTAAACAAACAAGACAAGATAACCAAATATATATAAGCATATTAAATATAGCTTAGCTAAAATTTTAAGAAAGGTGGATACTTTAGCCCTTCAGCATAAAACTGCTAGATGAAAGGTTTCATGCACATCCTTTGGACAGTTGAGATGAGGTTCTGCCCCGTATCTTATTTTGGTTGGTATCATGAATGTGTGATTATATTGAGACTGAAGATTCTATATGAGCTACATCATATTTCGAGTAACATCAAGCCATGGTTTACGACAATAGATTATCCCTTAAAATTGTGCTACCAAAACTTTTAGGTTAATTTTTTGCCACAGGATAAAAACTAGAATACCAACAAAGTGATTAGAAGCTTGAAAGAAATAAATCTACATAAATAATAGAGCCAAGTCTATCATAAAATCATATCAGGCTCGTCATTCAAAATCAAATAACCATATCCAAAAGTCACATATTTGTTATTCGGTGATCAAGGCTAAAAATAGAAGACACGATAAAATGGTAGCATAAATCCAGAAAAGGTGATGTATATACTAAAGAAGGATCATCATGAAGAAAAGAAATGATTATTATACGAGCATGATCATGATCAACAATCATGAGTTCAATTTACCAAGGCCAGATAGCAAGAGAACAAAAACTAGTAAAATTATATCTAAATGAATCTGACAATCTGCTCAAGTTAAATCGAAGAAGAGGAACAATTCTGTTTTGTCCAGACAATTCACACTGCTTGATAAACGGTTAAGTCTCACATTATAAATATGCAAAGAAAATAAAAATAGTTTAAGGGAAACTGCAAGGAAAGCACCTCCTCATTATCAATCAACCAAGAAAATCCTTCAAAATGAAGAACTAGCACAAGCTAAAATTAGATGTCTTATGAAATATAATATATAAAAAAAAAAGTAAAAACAATTGAATCCTCATGCAGATTGTGAGCAAAACAATAATTATTTATTACAACAAGTTTCTGATTCGGATTGTAGTTCTGATAAATAAAAGATTATATATTATTTATACTGTAAGGGGAAAAATAAAAAGAAAATCGATCACCACCCACCTTTTTCGCTAGGCTTCAAGCAAAACGATTCAAATAGAAATTTTGAATCATATTATGTGCTGTTAAATTTTCAGTTGACTCTACATTTATTAATAAATGTCTATTTTATACTCATATAATTATTTGGTTAATATATTTTGCTTTATTAAGAAAATTTACCAACATTACTAAAAATGTTAAGAAATCTTGCATCACCTAATAAGCATACCATGGTCAACGAACACGATAAGACGCTTGGAAGTATTACCTCCAACACGAAGCATAACGGCTCATAGGGTTGTAGATGAATGATTCTTCATGCATGAAGACGAGAGGAATCCTTAAGGTGAACCAAAAAATAGCAGAACCTCAGCCATGAAGGCTTAAGCCATCGATACAGCTTGCCAAAGAAAACAAAGAGAAGCAACTTGATGACCCCACTCGATTCCTCCTAAAATAAAGCTTTAACTTTGTCATTTGTAGAGATAAATGGAAAGAGAACTGAGAATATTTGTCCAAGGTGTAGGATTTGCTATGCTACGAAAAGGTGGACTTTTGAGAGAGAATTTTAAAACGACACAATAACAGCAAGTTAAAGCTATAAAGCATATGGAGAAAAATACGCTGACAGTCAACTAGAATTGCCCAAAGCTGGTCAGGGCTAGCCAACATTGCAAAGGACAAATCAATGAAGGCTTCCTGTCAGCCATATATTACTTCCTGCATGTGGATCTAGTTAACCAGAAGGGACGATCCGACTACTTTCTTTAAAGAGCAGACGGGCCTAATATTGTCAATAAATCCATTAGCTTAATCAGATCCCATTACCTAACACTTTATATAATCAGATTTGAGCCCATGAGGTATAGAGCTTGCAATAAATAGGATTGAGTATGCTAAAAGATTCTCTTGTTTAGCCAACACATCACTGAACATGTTGGAGAAATCTTATATCACCTAAAAAAGGTACCATGGTCAATGAACACGATAAGAAACTTGGTTGCATTACCTCCAACACGATGCTTCTAGCTAAAAGCTGGAGTTTGGTGGTGAGCCAAGTTGAGACCAAAATCATCTTGAGAATCACTTAAGCATTTAGGTTATGAGAATGACTAAGCAGTTAAAAGAAAGGTCCCTAATGCACTATACTGTGATCATGTAGAATTTGTTTTGTTTGAGTAGTTTGGCTGATTTTATGGACTCATAATTATGAGAGATTTAGTCAGAATGATAGACTTAGACTTGATCCAGCCCAATTCAAAACTCTGAGCAGCCAATTAATGAATCCTAATAATCTTGGGAGTTGTTCATGCCCCTCATTTGAACAAAGAAGACTCAGACTTGATCAATTACATAATCATGCAAATCAGGTTTAACTAACTTGATATATGAACTATTATGGAAAATATAGGTCTCTAATTTAAAGCATCTAATGAGTTTTGGGGTAGCATAAATCTTCGGCTAAATATAAGCTAATATATTTAAGTAATGATTAAGTGATTAAGTATCTAGCTTAATGAAGTCAACAAAAGTGGCCAAGAAGGCTTAAGGGCCTTTGATTCACTGAAGGGTTGATGAATCTCATTCGAACGGCACATGGTTAGATCAACTAAGGCTATTGAGCACTATGGATCAACCGTGATTAAAGTGAAACCATTGAGATCATGGTATATTTTGGTTCAGTGCATGAGACAACTAAGGCTGGGCTGCCCAAGTGAGATCTATCTTGTGGTTTACAATATCCAGATGGTTGCACATACCCGTCAAAGGACGACAGAGGTAAGATATCAGATAATTGGGTTTCCTAAAGTGATAGGTTGGCACAGCAGTTAGAAAAACACTTAGATAGGCTGCCCATGGTTCAGAATTTCATAACGAACAAAATCCTAGTTTAAGGGGTCCATCAGTGTTGGGTTGGCCTACAAGGGCTTTGCATGTCTTATCCAGGGAGCAAACAAGTCACCTAAGGATTAGTCAACCTAAGCCCATCGCAATTAGCCCGCTCATCCTGTGTCAATTGGATGTATTCTAGTTGTTCAATATAGCCCATAATAAGTATAGCCCACTCTCCAAATTTTGCCCTGGACTACCAAGGGACGTGATGAGGTTACCCAAGGGCAAAGAGTACTAATTGGCCTTCATACTGGCCTAGGACTATATGGAACAACTAAAATAAGTTTAAGCCCCAAAAAAGGTACTTTGAAATTTCAAACTCTGATGGGTCAATCAAGACAAAATTGGTTCAGTCTGGCAAACACTGACCTTTTGAAGATGAAAATTTTCACAAATATATTTTTAGTGATCATTTGCTCCCATTATATATTGAGTTCAGGCATAAATATGTAAAAGTTGACTAATATATTTAGATATATATTTGCCTCAGCTGTTCTTCTTTGGTTACAAAAGGGGGCACTTTCCCGTGTAACCCTAAAATCTTGCATATACGTAAAACACACGCCCAACAACTTTTATTTACTATAATATTACCTAAATCCAGAAAAGCAAAACAAAATATAACACATATTTTCACTTTATTAAATTTACAATTATTTCATCATGACACACAAAAACATGATTTTTTAGGGCTTTTTAGCTTGAAAGTTAGATATGCAAATAGATAAAATGTATATGGAACTAGAATAATTCTTCAAAAAAAAAAACTCTCCTTCGATGTACTTGTCTTTGCATTTTCTATCTTCAAACTTGTCCCGCATTCTTTATCTGACCGGTTGAACTTTTTTGCACCACCAAATCAACTTAAAACACTGCAATTAAGGCCCCGTTTGGGACAGCTTAAATGTGCGGCGGCGTTTTTGAAAACGTCGCCGTAGCGTTTGAAAATCACGTCTTTCCTGCGTTTTTGAGAACAGCTTTTTTTATTTACGTTACACGCGTTTCGGCTCCAAAATTTCCTTCGGCTACCCTCATCCCCGCAGCCGCCCTTCCTTCGCAAGTGTTGCTCGATCTCGCCTCCGTCGCTCCTCCACAGGTAACAAAACAATCGCCTCGTCCCTTCTTTCCCCTATTTCGCCGAGAGATCTGAGATTGGCAAGAAATTTCAGTCGATCCAGTTATTTGGAAGTGCTGAGTTGGCTAAACCTAGATCTACTCTGATAAAAATATAGAT